AGCAAGCGCACAGGTGCATGCAGTCCGATCAATCATCCCTTGATCTGCACGCATCCTACCGCGTCATATCTTTGGTATGTAGTTTTCTTTGTTTGGGTCTCCCGTCCAGAGGAAAGCTCTGGCCTTTCTGTTTGACTTTTTAATAGTATCATCAGGTATTGTCCAAATCGAGGATATGTACCATATCATAGAGACGATCAAGGTGTTTATGACGAGGGCTCTGCCCATTAGTGAGGACAAAGTTTGCCCCCATTTTCCCATTCTGTTGATTTGGTTGGCTATCAAATTTTGTGCCATCTGAGGGAAGGGGTCGTCCTTTGTGACCTGGATGCCAAGGTATGTAGTCGGTCTGGTCTCTAACATGTCATCTGACTCTCCGGCCCCTGCAATTGAGGGGGTTCCTCATCTGACAGCCACCAACCAACTGTCTTTCCCCAATTCATCTTTATTTCTGAAGCCAGTTTGAAGGCTTCCATAGCCCGGACTAGTGCACTAACAGAAGAGTCCGGGCTCGAACCAAGACCGTCAGGTTGCCAGCAAACATGACTGTAGGGAACTTCATATGATGAGCATTGCCAATGTTGATTTCCGGTAATCTTTCAATGGAAGTATCCTTGAGGAGGAAGGATGCTATAGCTTCCATTATGAAGAAGAGAGGAGGGGTCAGGGGGTCACCCTATCTCACTGAACGGGAGATGGGGAAGCTATCTCATATCATCCCGTTGATCTGCATGCATCTGTGAGGATTGAGCCCTCAAGAAGGGGCCTTGCCATAATGTACATGTTCTGGGCTAAGGCCCCAGCAAGCCTCGTGCCCGCCCTAAGTGAAGGCGGGCCAGCAAATCAACAAGAGCCCTCTCTACAAACATTTCACGAAGTGGGGTCCTTATAGTTGCAGCACGCCAGTTGGTTGGAGTGCACCGAGTCTCGGATTTCAGCAAATGCTGAAAACCCAGGGCCTCTGAGTTAGTTAGGCCCTGGGCACTTGAACGTGAGGCCGACAATGCATGCTGGGTATAGAGGCCGAAAATGCCAAAGGGAAATCGGTCCACTATCTGAATCTGGCCGCAGGCCTTGACGAAAGAGGTGCAACTGCATCCCCCGGGCCCCAATTGTATCGGGCCTGGGTTCAGCGACTGGGCCCCAGACACAGGCTGAAGGGAGGCCGCCCACACGCAACACTGGCATATAGGCAAGTAGGGCGAGTGGGCAGGCATCTTGGCCATTGCGAGCAAGGCCGACACGCTGCTGCGTTGTATGCATGCTGCGCTGTGCTAAGGGCTGAGAGAAGCAGGACAACGCTAGGCGGTAGGGCGCTGCCTGTGGGCGCAGGGCGCTGGCGGTCATAGCCGGGCTGCCTGTGTGCGCAGAGGGGTGAAGGGCGAAGGTGGTTCTTCGGAGGTGAAGGGCGCTGTGTGGGTACAAGGGAGAGTGTGGGTGAAGAGGACACGTACCTGGTGGAGGTGGAGGTCGGCATTGGTGTTGACATCATCACTCGCTGGTAGTCAAGTTGTCTGGTTGCTTTCATTGCTGTAGTTGTAGGCTTAGTCTGTAGAGTAGATAGGGCGCCTGGCGCCATTCATAAGAGCTGTCTCTTATACACATCTAGATGTGTATAAGAGACAG